TGGTCGTAACCCGAAAAGTTTGTTAGTAGAGGCGTTCGTATCCCGAGGTATCACTGTATAGATATATATATATTTTTGAAAGAATATAAGAATAGGTAGTACAAATAAGAACATCAGGTACAGATAAATATGGCCAGATAAGCCACAAATCTGAAGTAACATAAAATTAATGTATTCTAATATATCATTAAAAACTTATAGTACAAGGAGATACAGGTAGTCCTTGGTTAACGCCTGCTCATTCAGTGACTGTTCGGAGTTACGACAGCGCTGAATGTTTGATTCTCAAAGTTCTGGACGTCCCACCATCCCTGCAGTCACATGATCACGATCTGGGCACCTGGCAACTGTCTTGCACTTATGATGGTTGCAGCATCCCGCAGTCATGTGGTTGCTATTTACGACCTTCCCTGCCAGCTTCCCACAAGTAAAGTCAATAGGGAAGGTTGCAAGTCACTCCTGTAACTCGCTCCCACTCCTACCGCTTTTTCTCTCAAGAAGCCTGGCTACAGAGTATGAGATCCCAGAGATCTCATACTCCGTAGCACGTGCACACCCACAGCGCCCCCCCACCTGCATTCATGCGGTGCCACAGCAGCCACTTACCTGCCTGCCTGCTTGCAAGCCACCCAAGACTTGCGATTTCCTGCCGGCTTCCCCATTGACTTTGCTTGTTGGAAGCCGGCAGGGATTGCGAAGAGGTCCTTGCTTAGTGATGGTAGTGGGGACTGCTAGGATTGCCGTTGCTAAGTGATGTGGTCACGTGATATCACGCGTTATGACCACATTGCTTAAGGATGGAAATTCTGGTCCCAATTACCATTATTAAGTGAGGACTACCTGTATTTCAAATCCATTTTCTACTCAAAATCCACACGTCCCTGTTAAGCTTTAAGCTAAAAAATGCTTAGTTAACATTACTGAAATTGTTAAAAAAAAAAAAAAAAAAGGTAGTAAATAATGTGTTGCACCAATACTATAAATTATACACTGAGTTAAAATATAGACGCTTAAACCCAAATGTTGGATGTGATGTAATTCCATGTATAAGATTGTGGTCCAAGAATGGTTTCCAATTAAACTTAAATTCTATGTTAGACTTACTTTTTAAATATAAAGTTATGCTGGATATCTGTCAGGCCTAGCCCAAGGAACATCAAGAGACCATGCAAATTCAGTCCAGCTATGTTTATTAGCTACAACCTCTAGCAAGAATCTCCCAAAACTAAACCCCCAGAGCCCAAGGTCCTCCAGCCACAACAGTGTGAATTCCTCAGGGAGGTGTCAGTCTCATCCTTTTGTTCCTCCCATGT